TTTTTCACTTTGGTATCACACTGCCATGTAATTTAATCCCTTTTGCCATCTGCTTTAAACAAATGGCAGTATTATTCCCAAGAGCAAAAATATACTTACTCTGTGATTCACTTCCACCAAGTAACCCAGACACTGATGTCCTGTAACAGAGCATGAAACCTGTTGTTCTGTTGAATGGAGAGGAGGCAAATTTGCTGCTTTCTGTTGCAGAGTTAAAAGTAACATATTACTTGTTCTAGTAACTCTAATAAATCAATGGGATTTGGAACTTGGGAGATGCAAGTGCTGATGTTACTCAGCTTACTCAACTTCATGCTCTTGTATCCATTTCCTTTTATTCTTACTGTAACATGTTGAGCACTGAAGGAGCTCTGTGCTCAACTATGCAGCCATCCATGCTAAGAGTAGAAGGGATATGTTCTGAGCACAGAAGCGGCAATTTAAAATTAACTGCAAGATCTCATTTTGGTACCTACTCAATCAAAAAAAGGGAAAAAGTTTGAAGTATCTCAAATGACTACATCTGCTCAGGAGGGTCCCTCACAAACTGGCAGCTGCAGCATCGTGTCATGCAGCAGCACCAGTACTGAAATTAACTCACAATGGTCACATATGCAGAACTGTGATTACATTTTATGTGGGAGACAGTCATTATTTAACACGTTCCAAGTGATGAAAGCAATCTTCTTCAACAAAGTCCTCAGTATGGGATCTCACTAACCAGCTCCAGCGCTGGCAGCAGTAGCTATGGTTATTCGAGGTCCTGAATCACTGACCTTCACTCTTTGCCAAAATACTATGCTGACTTGGAACCGTGAGGAAACATCTTGTGTATCTTCATACAGCTTCCTAATACTATACTGCAAAGCCTATTTCACCTGTTTTTTGATCACACTTGCATCAGCTTTACATTGTCTGTCTCTTCTGACTGCAACCAACTCATTTTACACAAATATGAGAAAAGCACCCAGCACCATCCCCTAATCCCCAAACATACACAGGTACTTTAAAACAATGTCATTAGGCCATAATGGATGTTAAGACAAAAAATAATGTGTTCTTCTAAACCTCACCTCAATTACCAATGGGAAACTAAAACAAATTAAACTGATCTACAGCACTAAGAACAGGTTCAGTGGAGCCGTCACCATTAACACAATCCACCTTAAGGAATAGGAAGGTAATTTCTTACAAAGGGAAAAAAAAAAAAAAGGGGAGTTACAGGACACTACACATTGTTTCTGGGGTTTTTGCCTTTTCTATTGCAAATTAAATACCTTGCATCTCTAGAAACCCCTTTATTTGATTCAAACCACTATAAATAGATTATTTCAGCAAAATAATCTATCTCATTTGCTTATATTTATATGATGTACAAATTTCTGTCCTTTAAAAAAAATATTAAAATCACATCAGTCAAATAGAGCCCTATTTTTGCTCCCTGGTTTTGCATTTGGCTGTTTACAGAGATCACAGTATTTTCCATGTTCCCCATAAAGACATGAACTGTATTTGTTGCTACATAATCCACAAAGATTCTTCATGCTAACACCACAAATGTCTGAGGAAAAACCTTCCCACAATCAAGTTTGAGTACAGTTTACCAGATGAAAAAACATTTCAACATTTCAACGTTTTCCACTTTTCAGCTCTATTCCTGTAGCAACAACATCCGAATAAAAAAAGCAAAAGGTGCAGCCAGCAAACAATGCTATTCACTTCAAAGCCTAAAAGAATTAAAATGACACTGATTCCTGAAATCAAAGAGGTGAATCCATAGGTAAATCCTGAGGCATGACGTCAGCTAGTTAACCTGACATGTCAACTTAATGCAAGAGTAATTTATTCAATTCTCACCCTACCCCGACACAAAACCTATACTTCCCCTGATGCCTAATTAGCCAAAGTACTTGTCTTCTTTCATGCAGATAATTTCATAACCACTAGTGTAAAGCATTAACACATTCTTCTTTCAATCGTATTTTCCTCCTGTTGACCGACACACCTTTTCAAGCAAGTGTACTTGTGCCAGTTTCAGCTCTGTGGGAACTTGCCCCAAGGTCTTTAGTAAAGTTCCCTCCCATACATAAACCACTGATATATAATCATGATGTGAAAAATCTATGTGAAGAAAAGTATGTCTTACCTTAGAAATATGAATGGAAAATTATGCACTGGAGGAATATAGCTGTTTCCATTTGAGTATAATTATGAAGCTAAATTGCACAGTATTTAACATACAGTAGAATGAGGCATGATTAAGTCCTTGACAACATGGTCAGGTGGTGCTTCTCATTAAATAATTTAAGGTTTTTTTTTTGAAAGACTAGACTTCTTACAGGATGCCTATTAATTCCAGGAATATTAGTCAACCCAAGAAATTCCTTTTGTGTACACACAAAACTTACTATGTGCAAGACCTGGCCGTGTACGTATTTGTTATGTGGCTTTTTCCAGTAAACCGTACTCAGCATTTATTCCTTAGCTCTGTGTTGACTTATTGTTCAGGAATGTTTTTTGAAAGACAATTACAAGACTTCACACATACAGGTGCTTGAAAAATGCAGGAAAATGTCATGAAACATTCATCCACATGAAAATACTGGGAGCTTCAGCTAACTTTCAAATTATTTCTAGTCCTTCTGTCATTGCGTCTCTGTTGTTCCTTCACAGTGATCGGAACTGACTATATCCTGCAGAGTTGTCAGGAAGTGGAGCCATAGGGTCAGAGATCTTCTTACACTCTGCTAAACTCTAGGGGAAAAGCACCGCCAAAAGAAAAAACCCCAAACTAACAAAAAGGAAATCAGCTTCCTTGTATGAAACATTCACAATGCTTGGGAACAAGTGATTTAGTTCACTTCCACCTGCAGAGCCATTTGCTGGGGCTTCAGATGCCATCTGTCATCCAGGGGGAAGTTCAGCATTCTTCCCATTCCGTGCTCCCCAGTACAGTGTCTCCTGGCGCGTGACGGAAGCAAGTCTGAATCACACAGACTGATGCATTGCACCATCAGAGCATAAAACACTTATCACCCTCTGAATCACTACTGGCACCGTGGGATGTGGCAGCACATCCCCCTGCAGCGAGGCTCCCAGCCCTGCCTGCCCCACAATGCCCCAGAGGGCTCCACAGTCACCATCTGCACCTCCAGAATGCTGCAGGTGCTTGCTGCACTGCTCTGCCAAAGGCACCCTGCGACTCAGTCTAGGCAGTCACTGCAGGTTTCACAGGCATCGCTTAGCCAGAGACTCACACCCACCTGTGACTTTATGTCTCGGGCAGGCTTTGTAGTCAGTGCTGGTCCTCAGTCTGCCAGCGCTGCGCCAGTGACCTGTTACCAGGGCAAGATAAGGATTTCTACACAAGATGCAGTCACAGCAGCTAAGCACAGAGCTGGTCCATTGTAGGTGAAGGGCATCTTTACATACAGAAGCTCAATCAGCTTATCTTAGAATCAGTGCAATTAAACTGGTACAAGCCAGTTTAATTAAACCAGACGCTCTCTTGTGGGCTCAGTAGAAAGTATCTTGGTTAGCTCGCAACTCAACATTTCCCAGTGCAAGCTAATTCACTTTCAAGAGGTCTAAACCAATGTATGTGTTCCTTTCAAAATCTGTGCTACCTTACCTAACTTATTACTAAAATGACAACTTCAGTCAAACCAGAACAAGTTTCATCACACTAATTACTTTGGTATTTTTAGAAATATTAATCTCTTTTAGTAATCAGCTTGGTTTGCTGATTGTGGCAATGAGACTAGTCTGCCCTAACTTTGATTATAAAAAGCTATTTGAGCAATCCATATACCAAGGACTAGTTAGGCTCTAGTGGGTGCCTGCTTGCTATATTACAAGGAGTACTAAGGAGAAAGGTCCTTAATCACGGATTTTTTTATTTGCACAACCTCAAGATTTGATCTAAGGCAATTTAAAACCACTGTACCTGTCTATGTTTTCAACCTCTGATCCAGCTGCAGTCTGGGCTTTGCTGTGACCTGACCTGCATGCAGCTAGTGTGAGGGCAGAAGTCATGTTGCACTGCCAGCTGTAGAATAATGGGAGCTCAGGCACCGCTGCAGTGTCAACTTGCCACATCTCACCTGAATTTCACAACTGCGGACAGAAACCCCACCAGAACATTTAATCTATTACACCAAAACCACACCATGGTCCCCACAGACTTTCAGCTGTTGTATTTTTACATGCTGCTCTAAAGGTCTCACAATAATGAAAGAATCAGATCAAAGCTAGCATTGTGCAACGTAAGAAATAAACCCTAGATAGTTTAGAGTTTCCCATTAGCATGTTTTTAAGTGCTTCAGGCAATTTTCAGTGCAAGTAGTGCTCAAATAGATGGCCTCTTCCACTCATTTTGGTAGCCACCATCAATAACTGCCATGCAATCTATATGTCTTTCGGAGTTATGGTAAAATACAAGAGTAAAGAAAGGTAATGCAGTAAGAGCTATTTTTACTAACTTTGAAACTTATTGCCAGAGATTATACTATCTCTTATAAGTGATGTAACTTTCTTTCCACAACCAGTTTTCGTTTCATTCTCAATAAAGGAAGAAGAGGGCATTTGACCACTGATTATCATTTCAAGATGGTGACTCAAAATCTATTCTAACTAGAAATCAAGTAATGCACCCATGTTCTAAAACGACCAATACAACACACCTGAAGCAGCAAGAGTGACTTCAGCTCACAAAACGGAAGACAAAGTCAAAAAGCATTAGGAACCGATTTGGGGTGAATAACATTCTGAGTACTGTTATGCAGGCACAAACAGGGGGATTGTGCATGTTTTTCAAAAGTCACTTGTGTTTCTCTTTTCATCTTCTCACCTACTCTCAACAAGCTTGCAAAGTGGCATGCAACTGTTTTAGCAATATCTATTGATACCATGGCTATGAAATTGTCTTCATCCCTAGGACTATTCATTCTGAGAGGTGGTAAACTGCCTATATTACGTGTTAATTAAAGTGTGTTAATTACCATTATTAAGGGCATCCTTGTTGCTTTTGCAGGAAAAAGACATCTGCTGGTAAGGACCAGTGGATTTCCACAGTGCATTGGTTAATTCTGTCTGAGAAGAAGTATCCGTTTTGAGGTCCACCTGATTTCCATTAGTCCTTGCTGCATCAGAATTTGAAATGTTCAGCCCATACACACCTACCTAGTAAACAAGAGAAGAACCTGATCTGTTGAGATTGCTTAGAGATATACACACTACAGCTTCATTTAAATATAATGTATTTTCATCACATAAGCTGTCCAACTGATAATGTCACATTTTCTGCAGAAGGTGGAAAAAAAAGAGAACAGCCTTTTCACCTTTATCCACCATCAGAATCACAGAATATCTCAAGTTGGAAGGGACCCATAAGGATCATCTAGCCCAACTCACTGCTCCACGCAGGCCTAAGATGAAACCATATGACACAAGCACAGTCCTAAACAATCCTTATACCAGGATACATAAAATTAACTGCCAGACAGAATGGAGTTTCATAGCAAACAGACACCTAATTTACCAAGAAGCTAACATCAAAATATGTTAAATTCAATGTACATTCAGGAATAAACAGTGATAACCTAGTACATTTTTCCTTAGCTCCCCTCAAAACACACAAAAACTCTGTAATAATTGCAAAATAGCAAATAACAAAGGGCTGCCACCTGGGATGCACTGAGCTCTGCCGACTCCTTTCAGAGGGTTAATATTTGGCCCCATGGCTCAAAGAGGTACCACTTCACATGTAAATCTGTGTTCACTCAATCCAAAAATAACACTGTACCTCACGTAGACAGGTAACCATAGAGAACAGGACTGCAGCAAACTGGGGATGGCAAACAGCATTCAGCAAGCGGCATGACTCCCAGGGGCTGAAAATGCAACTCCTGCAAAAACTCCCTGCCTGCAAGTGTTTACCAAGGCTAACCTCACAGAAAAGCAAGAGCAGCGGTGTATCTTATTGCAACATTCGGCTACCCAAAACTAGCTAGGTTCAGTGTAATGGCAAGAACACTGGGAATACTGGCTGACTGGCAGCCAGTTCTGCTGCTGTAACAGGTATGGTAGTGGAAAACACAGGACAAAGATGATCCTAAGGCCTGGAATGAATCCAAAGCCACATAATTTACTTGAAATAAAAATAAGTAGTCTTAGACATGAAATATTATATTAAGAACTACTACTCTTTGACACATTTTTTGCCTCTCCATCTGTGTGGTCCTGGCCATCCTTGCATCAGGCTGTCATCCTCCAACTTCCTCTCCTCAAAATATTTCAGCAGTCCTATCCACTAACGCTGACGGGCAAGGTCAGTTTTTATTTCATCATCTGCTTCTTAAGCACTGCCAAACAAGTCAAAACTGTATGGCAAGCTATAGTAGCAAGAAGTGCCTTCATTGTTTGGGCTGGGCAAGCATGTATGAATAAGTGATGTTCACATGGTGTTCACAAAAGCGGGATGAAAAGGGGAAGGTCAAAGGCCAGTCCTTCACCCTCTCATGCAGGGGGTGATGAATGGTCACTGGCCATCATGGGTCAGTTGCCAGCTGAAAAACTAGGGAGGTGATGGCCTGAAGAAAGGCTCTATAGATTTTCTTTTGAAAGTGAAAACCTGGGGGGAAAAAATGTTTGGGTCAGTGAGCTTTCAATACATGCAAAAGAACAAGCAAAATGTTTTGATTTTTAGGTGGTTGAGAACACAAATGGAAATCAAGGTTGTACCTACTTAGGCAGTGACTAGAGACCAGGTCCCAGGTGGCAGCTGAGCACCCAGACAGTCACCCAGACAGTTCAGTTCCAACTCAGCCTCTACCCTTCACCCTCAACAAAAACTTAATCATTTTTAGCATTAAATGCTTAAGCAGCTTCAGAGCTACTATAAATTACGTCTCCTAATAATGACCATCTTCAGAGAATTATATTGTCAGGGATGGCGCCACGTACCAACCTCTTCCCCAAAGGGTTTGCCTGTTTCAGGGGAGCAGGACAGCGGGCCTGACACATGGGGTTCACAGGAACGTGGTGGTTTTCACTTCTGGAGCAGCCACCTCTCCCCACTGGAGACAGTGCTGTTGTCCAGGAATAAGGACCACAGCCAAAGACTTCAGTAAAAGCTTTATATGCCTCAAGCATTACAATAATTTAGCTAATTTAGCTCTCCTACAAGAGGAGGGAGACATAATGTATCTTGTAAACACAGAGGCAAAGCAAAATAAAACAGATTCTTAGACTTAAAATTTCTATCTCCTCCAAATAATACCCATCAGTCTGAGTTTGGTTTCTGTTGGGCACCCAGCTTAAAATCATAGAAAGGCTGAGATTGGAAAGGTCCTCTGGAAGTCATCTGGTCCAATCCCTTTGCTCAAGAAAGGCCACCCAGAGCAAGCTGCCCAGGACCACATCCAGACAGTTTCTGAATACCTCCAATGATACAGACTCCACAAACTCCCTGAGTAACTTGTGCTAGAGCTCAGTCACACCATTGGGGAAAAAAGTCTTTCCCAATGTTCAGAGGGAACCTCCTGTGTTTCTGTTTGTGCCTGTTGCCTCTGGTGCTGTCACTGGGCACCACTGAAAAGAGCCTGGCACCCTCCTCTTTACACCTTCCATTTAGGTATTCATATACATTACGGAGAACCTCCATGAACCTTTCCTCTCCAGCTTGAGCATTCTCAGCCTTTCCTCACAAAAGAGATGCCCCAGTCCTTCAAACACTTTTGTGACCCTTCACTGGACACCCATTCCCTCCCTTCACACCCTCCACCCACTAGCTGTATGTCTCTCTTGTACTGGGGAGCCAGAACTGGACACAGTACTCCACGTGTGGCTGGAGTAGAGGGAAAGGATCACCTCCCTTGACCTATGAGTAATACTTTGCCTAATGCAGCACAGGAGATCCTTAGCCTTCTTTGTGGCCAGTGCACATCATTGGCTTACATTCAACTTGGTGTCCGACAGGACACAAGTCTTTTCTGCCAAGCTGCTTTTCATCTGGGTGGCCTCCAGCATACATTGATAGATGGGGTTGTTCCTTCCCAGGGGCAAGACTCTGCACTTCCCCCGTTAAACTTTATGACATAAAAACAAAGCCCTTGGATATGCTTGAATCTCAGTGTCCCATGTACTTACTACAGTACCAACGAACTACAGCCAGACATACTAGCCTATTCAAGGCAAGCCTCTCTAGGTCTGCAGTTGGGGATGTAATTAACCACACACCTCACAGGTCCCTCTGGATGACAACAGGCTACTTCCCTGACCGTGCTTCCAGCGCCAGAGGAGCTTCTTCTGCATTTTCACACCATTTCTTTCTTTTGCCACCATTTTCTGGCCCTCCTGGAGCCTCTCCAGGCTCTGCTGGTACTCCTGCAGCTGCAGCGAGTGTCTCTGCCGGCTCCTCTCCAGCAGCTCCTCCTGGCACTCACATTCCTTCTCCCACTGCCTCAGACGGACCTCCCTGGCCTCCTGCTCCCGCTGCCGTTGGTCGCACTCACTCAGCCACTGCTGCTGCTCTTGCTGAAACTGCTGCCTCAGTTTGTGTATGTTGGCTAGCTCCACTCTTAGTTTTTCCAAATTCCGGTATTTTTCTTGTTCCAGAAGGACATTTAGGCGAGAACCATGGCCCCGACTGGTCTTCTCATTCTCTTGCAGGAGCAGCCTATGGAGTTCTCTGTGGCTGTCCTGGATAGTTAGTGCCGCCTAGACACCACAACAAAATGAGACACAAATGTTTAAACTGTTAGCATTAATCCATTTCTGTACTTTTACATAGAAGCACGACATAAAAATGCTTCAACCTCTCAGCATCAGTGCTTAATTCTTTTTGGGAAGTTATTCCTCATGCAAGTAGAGAAAATTCTATGTTCGTGCCTTTACCAAGAGATGTTTCTAAGAGCACTCAAACATTTTGAGCACTTGTAACATGGCTTCTAGTTCACAGCTGTATTATTATATACATATATCTTCCAGCTGTGCTTATGGACTTCAGTTATAGCTGGGATCCTGTTCTGTCAGAATATATTAAGACACATATGAAAAATTATTTTTCATGGTTAAAGGGGGCATTAAGGCACTAGGAATGCTACATTCAACAGTGTACTCCTAACACAGATGTGGCTTACACAGGCAAAACTGCACTGTTTCCAGTACAACTCACTCCAACTCTAAGGCTCTCCTTGCTAACCTGCAACAGGGTAGTCCTACTTACATCAGTCCCACAGGCACGTGCCAGCACAGCTATGTCATCAGGATCATACTGCTGCATGCACCTGACCGAGATGTCTGTGCTGGCAGAAATCTGCAGTACACTAACGATCTTGTTTTCAATATTTCCATAGTTTATTTTACAACAAGAGTGCTATATTCCATTCTTCACAAGACTGTTGTGACATTGTTTGCATTAAACATTGTGACATCCTCCAATAACACAAAAATAAATAGCTGGGATTAAGAAGGAAGAACAGCAAGAAGGCCCTAGATCTGCTGAGGCACTTATTGCACAGCCTATCTGCAGGAGCTGACATGGGAATCTACTTCAGAAGACATTCCCAGAGAATTCCCACAGCCCCGTTGCCCCATGCTGTCCACTCCAGAACAAGTTTTTAACTTTACTCAATGTGCAACTCCCACTTTTCTTGGCTCTTCCTCCACTATTCATTCATAAACAGGGCAAGGATAGGATCCTCTGCTTGTTTTTTCTGCACCCATACTGCCAATTTATCATCTGAACAACTAAGGCACGACCCCAAGCCTTATTTTACTGCCCCTTTGGTGTTAAACTATCTGGTTTTCAATTTTTCAAAACTTCTGCCTGCATCACAAGCTTTTTGGTGTGTTTTTGCATTGCTTCAATCCACTCAACTTTTGTGCCAAACAAATTGAGGATTATTATTAAAGATAATAATGTCAAGAGGGTCTAAAAATTATACGCTCAGATGAAACATTTCAAAATAGAATTAGAAAATTGCACCTAAATAAGAAAAAAAAAAAAGTAAACCCGCTCAAACTCAGCATGAAAGAGGCAAAAACCTCAGACTAAGGCCCTGCAGAATACACATACTGATTAATTGAGAATAAAATATCTAAAATGAGCTAAGCTTTTTACTGAAGTGGCAGAAACACTATTTACTAGTAGCCAGGAGAATACTGTAAACAAAATATTAACTTGTTTCAATACTTTGAACTATGATTTTAGGTATCTGTACATGAAATGAAATCAGTTCAGTTAGAGCTAACATTTTACTTTCCCCTTAGATTTTTGGATGGTACACGCATTTTTTTTTGGGGGGGGAGGGACTGATCTTCATGCACCCAAGCATTACTCAGTTCTTAAGAGAAACCTACCACTAATGTAGAATAAAAATATTTTATATGACAAATTATGCAAGTCGGTAAAGTATCAGCTGACAATGTCTGAAAGTAGGGCAAGATGGAAAAAAAAAGAAGTAAGTTATTAAAACTGATTACTCTACAGAGTTAGCAGTGGAGTACTCACCTGTATGCTGTATAAAAGCCGGGTTAAGTTCTGGATTGCCTGTACGATCTAGAAAATAAAAGAGATGGATTTTCAAAAGTTTGACCACTGTTAACAAAATAGTCACTACAGTCTGGGGTTTAAGTAAACTCACCTCTGTCCCTGTAGATCCTGGGAAACTCACACTTCCTCCCTAAAATAAACAAAAGTTACTTTAAAAAGTAGGTTTCAACTTTAGAATTGTATCTTTTAGGTAATTTTTTTTTTTTTTTAACTAGTAGAGACATTCATATCACTAATATATGCAGTGCTGAGTCAAAGCTTTTTGTGGGTATGTGAAAAGAGACAGAAGCAAAAACCTACAAAGACTAATAATTCATCAACACTGGGGTTTCTGTGGAAATCACCAGAGATTATAAGCACAACTGTAAAAACAAAAATATTTCATCCAGAATTTTAATCCTCTCAAGACTAATGCTACACAGAAAAGACATTTCCATTCATTCTTTGTTTACTTGACCATTTTGAAATACAGTGACCAGACTTCTGTATATAGAGCACACTGGGTTTAGATTAGTTATGATGTGACTCTTCAAAAATAGTTATTAATGTTGCAAGAAGCCAGCAGCTTTCTAACTTCATTGGGTAAAGCCATCCATAACCCCTTCAGCATGAAGAGCTGCTCCTTTGAGAAATATAAGGTGAAACAGTAGAGAAATAAAACACAATCCCTTCTGAGGTTATACTGAAAAGACTTCCTGTATGATTTTTTTAAATTTTTTTTTTTTTAATTTTTCCAGAGGAGCAGAGGAAGGTTTGGGGAATATTTTCTCTCCCTCTGATTTTCTTAAGTTTTCTACTGTGACTCATTTTCCACCAAAGCAGGTGCTCCATTTATCTGTGAAAGAGGCAGGGCCCTGAAACACAGCTCACCACAGATCAGCTAGGGCAAAAGAGAGCACTGGCTGCAGCACTTCCTACACTCCTTTCCCTTTCTCATTACCTCCCTTCAATATTTCCCTCCATTCCCTCTCCACTTCTTACTGCTCCCATGTGCCACACAACTGCTTGGCTTCGCTATGAGAAGCAGAGGAGTTTGTATGGATGCCTCTGTGCAGCACAAGGCAATGAGGAAGAACAAAGCTACAAGGGACAGAGAAGAGATGCTTGTAGCATGAAGAAGAGTGAGTGCACAAAAGAGTGCCTGCATGATTAACAAGGTTGTGGTTTCTTTCTGGGTTTTAACCCCTTTTTGACTTAATAAAGGAGGCATACAGGGGGATCGAAGGCTCAGCTGTCTTGGGCATGGCCAAGTGGTAACAAGTAGCCAGCCCAAGCACCTGCGGTCTGCTCACCACAGTACCACCTGAGTGTGTTGGGGGATGAGCCCAAGGTTGGTTTAGCTGAGCTAGCCAGCGTGGCAGCAGCACTGCAGCTGCTCTGTTATGGCCTCAGCACAAGCCCTGTAAGTCCAGCACGCTCTGAAGCACTATATTTAGCTGTTTAACCTGTGCTGCCGGCCACCTCCACCTCCCTACCCCCCGAGCACCTTGGTTGCCTGGCTCTCGGGTTCACAGGCTAGCTAGCCCGAGCCGATGCTGCCACCCCACAACCCCATGGCTGCACACTCACTGACTGAAGGCAGACAGGAGAATGTCCTAGGCCCTTGAAAACCTCTGCCTTGCCGGTTTTGTTTGCTTGTTCTGCCACCTCCTGGTAAGTCTGATTCTGACATGGGAAGACATGACGATACTTGCCTAAACAGGCCAGACCAGAACAGTAACTTGGGGTGGAGGAGTGTGCTGCAGATCCCCATCCTCCAGCTCAAATCAGGGCTAGCTTCAAAGTTAGATGAGGTTGCTTGGGTCCTCCTCTGGTCAAACCCAGCAAACTTCCAAGGATGGAGACCCCACAACCTCTCTGGACAACCTCTTCCTGCTGGATCACCTGTGTGGTTGTTTTTTTTCCTTACATACAGTCAGAGTTTCCCTTGCTGCAACTTCTAATTTTGGATGCTCATCCTTCTACAGTGCACCTCTGAGAAAAGCCCAGTTCCATCGTGTCTATAACCCCATGGCACTGGTTTCATGTGGAGCTACTGGAACTTTCAATGGCTTAGATCTGAGCACCTGTATCCTATATTAGGCTATTTTATTTCCCCTTACCTAGTGTTTCTGCTCCCTCACTTGGACTTTTGTTTTCATCCTATTTTCAACCCACACCCCCTCTTCTTCTTACTCCTTTCTAACACAGCGGTCTGGTAGGTAAGATGACCTAGAGCTGAACATGAGGCAAGGTTATAGGAAGAGTAGCGTATTAGCAAGTCTTCCAGAAATAGCTAGAAAAAAACAAAACCAAAACAAACAAACAAACAAACAAACAAACAAAAAAAACAACAACAACAACAACAAAAAAAAAAAACAACCAGGTTTTCAGGCACACAAGTCCTCTTTGAGATCTGATGCAAAGACTGTAACTAGTGCTAAGCATCTCCTTTTCTAAGAAGCGTTGCTTTCCATTTCGAGTAACGCATCTTCTATTCTTAATTCTCCCTTTTTTTTTCCTTTGGTGGTCCTCCTCATCCACCTAAGGACTCCACAACTGCAGCTGACTTTACTTCCACACGGTAATTCATACTGCTCTTACCCTAACACCCTTCTGCTACATTAAATTTGCCATTCGTGATTTTGCTCAGAGCTGATTTTTCATTGTGGGGTTTTTTTTTTTTTCCCCCTCCAGATTTGCTTATAAGTTACATAACTTCGAAAAACAGACAATTTCTCTTCTCTTCTCTAATTGCTCCATTTTATTTTAATTCAAAATTCTGAAGCAAGCTGGTGTAAGACAATCCATCCTATTTTATGTGCTTGTTCTCAGGATGAAGTTCTTCCAATGCATAAGTCTTCATTAAATTAGCTGAGGTCTCTGTCATTGCAGGAGACTTTCATCATCCTGTGAATAGGAGGAGGGAGTAGAGGGATACAACTGTCAGCTCCATAGAGATGGATGTATTGAAGGATGACAGCAGAGAATCAGGCTCTTACGTGGCCCATACAAGTGGTACAAAATCACTGTGGCTATTATTACAACACACCAGTATGTAAACCCGGCAGGAAAACAGTTTATGATTGCTTTTTAAAAATTCATTATTAATTACAGTGACCTCTGTTAAACTGACTTATCTGGATTTGGGTGAAATGTGTCTATCCCCTGCTTTAAGTTTCAGAACAGTCATTAGATATCCCCTAAAAACTGGAGAACATTTATACTCCCAGGGCCTAGAGTAACATGTGCGCCACAGGAAGAAAAATCAGTTACAATACCTTATCCTTCAGATTGGCACCTGCCATTTCCTTTTGAACACTGTGATCGGCTTCAGATGATTCTTCTTTTATTTCTGCATCTAATAAATAAAACCCCAATTAATGCGTATGAAAGTTACCAGCTTATATTCTAATTAGAGAAACAAAGGGCATACTTTTTTACAGATACTAACATGACGCTGAAAAGAGATATTTAGAGTTATGTAACGGATTGTAGGCTGGGGAAAAAAAAACCTATTTCGAAGAAAAAGAAAACCATCCATTTACTTCACTGAAGTTATATGACAATTTACACTATCTGAGTATTTGCCTAAGGACAGTTTGTATTACATTATTTTCTATTGCTTCTGCCTTAGACTGTGAAAGCTTTCCAAAAAACTAAATCAACTATCAAACATTTTAGCACTCTGAACATGTAAAGCATCAAATTTTACTCACCACCAAGAAGACAGGCCAAGATTTCATTGGCACTAAATCCATGCTTCATACTTAATTCCTCAATACTTTCCTCTGGTGCTCTGTCCGTTTCACTCACTTGTGATGTTGCTACAGCAACACGGAGACTTTCAACTAGATACAAAAACATGCAGAATCACAGAAGCCCCTTAAATAGCTCCTGAATGCATATATCAATGACATAGAATCACAGAATAATTCAGGTTGAAAGGGACTTTCAGAGGTCATCTAAAGCTGGTCAAACTAAATCAGGTTGCTCAGAGCTTTGCACAGACAAGCTTCTAACATCTCCAAAGATGGTGACTTCACAGCCTCTCTGGGCTACTTGTTCTCTTTTTCAACCACCCTCACAGTACACAGTTTTTCCTTTCATTTAATTGAAATTGTCTGTGTTCCAACATGTGCCTATTGCCCCTCATCCTACTACCATGTGCCTCCACAAAAAAAGTCTGTCTTGTCTGTATCCTTCTATTAGGCAACTGAGGACAGCAATGACATCCCACTAAGCCGCCTTCTCTCAAGGCTGAACAAACCAACCATCTCAGACTCTCCTCAGATGTCATATGCTCCAGCCCCCTAATCATCTTGGTGGCCTTCACTGGATTTGCTGCAGTTTGCCAGTATCTCTCGTGCCCAAGGGAGTCCAGCCCTGGTCACTGCACTCTAGATAGGACTGAATGAGTAGAGGAAGGATCACCTCCCCCAACCTGCTGGCAATCCTCCTCCTAATGCAGCAGCCTTGGGGGCAGTTGGCCTTCTTTGCCATAAAGGTACCTTGCTGCCTGATGGTCAGCCTGCTCTTGAGTAGAACTCCCAAGTCCACTTCAGCAAAGCTATTTTCTACCTACTCAGTGTCCAGACTGTGCCAACACATAGGATTAACCTAGCCCAGGTGCAGGACTTTGCACTTGTCATCAAATTTCTAGGGGTTTCTCTTAGCCTATTTTCATCACCTGTAAAGGTCTCTCCAGCACATTGATCACACCATCCCATTTAATGACAGCCATGAATTTGCAAAGAGTGTACTCAATCCCTTGATTAACTACATTAATAAATACTTTGAATAGCATTGGTCTCAGGATCCACCCCTAAGGAAATCCTCTAATAACATGTTGCCAGCTGGATGCTGTACCAGTATCCTTTCAGCCCAGCAGTCCAGCCAATTTCCAACCCAGTAACGCAGTCTGCATCTCACCAAGTCAGCTGTGAGGATACACAGCCAGTGCAGACAGTGTTCAAGGACTTGCAGATATCAGGGTAAACAACATGTGCTGCCTTCTTCTCATCACACAACCCTTCAGGTTGTTCAGAGACAATTTACCCCTGATGAATCCATGCTGCCGGTTCCCAGTTACCTTCCTGTCCATCATATTCTTGGAAACTGCTTGCAGGAGAATTTGCTCTATCACCATGTCAGAATCAGTGGTGATCATGTTTGTAGTTCCCTATGTATTCCTTCTTGAAAAGGGGTGTGATACTTACCTACTTCAAGACATGAAGAACCTCTCCTGATCACTGTGACCTTTCCAAGATGACAGAAAGCAGCCTCGCAATGACATTGGCCAGCTCACTGAGAAGCCTTGGATTTATCACATCTCATCTTAAGTATCTGTGTATATCCAATTTGCGTAAGCACTGCCTAATTCTAACCTTCTCTACTGTGAGCAATGCTTTATTCCTATAGCGTCTGCTGTTAGCTCAGGGATTTGAGATTTCTGTTCTGGAAAATCATACCCACAAACAGTCTTCAGTCTAACCAATTGTAAATTGCTCACAATGTGCTGAAGCGTCCTGAAATCCAAGACATCATCATCAACATCAGCACAAGAGAAAGTGAAAATTAAAAGTGGGCAGAAAAAGGTGTGTAACTCTAGGCTGCCATTTCAGCTAAAATTATGTTCACTATTGCATCACTGCTTCCATTTCCTACCCAAGTTGTATAAATTTTATTAATAAAATGCTCTCTGACATGATAATGATGGAGACCAACCTTTGCTGCTTTATCAGTTGAAATGTGATTACTAACCCACAGCTCTCAATTTAGGTGTCACTGAAATCTTGCAGTACTTCTCAAAGAGCATGTGGCCCATGCTGGATATGGCTCAGTTTGCCCGGACTCTTTTCAGCTGATTTTAGTAGGAATTCAGCTGAACTTTCAAGTAGGCAGGGTATCCACAGCTACTCCTCCCTTCCTTCCCTTGGAGGACAGCACTGTATGTAGCACAAGGCTATCATCTCTCTATTAGATAGTATGCATAAAAAAGCATGGCTCCTACAGCAATTCTGGCAGGTGTTTCTTAGCATATCTGCCAGGATCATCCGTAGTTTGGTCTGTATATGACTCTACATGATTTTGAATCATTGTCAAGGTAGGTGAAGGTCGGGGAGCAAATAATATCATATTGCATCCTGTGGTCTGTTTCACAGGCCTGCACTGCAAGAAGGCCAGCCAAGGAAAAACCTTCAAGTGCAACCTAACACCACATCCCGGCTGCTTACATACGAACATTATGCACTAAACATAGAATCAGAGAATGTTTGAGTTGGAAGTGACCTCCAAAGGTCATCTAGTCCAATCTGACAGGTACCATCTCATGCATCTGACAAGTATAAACTTCTGTTTATACTTCAATGTCTTTTGCCAAGCTTTGATACCACCAGTTCTTGAGGATTGACAGAATCACAGCACAAGGCGACATGGCTGTACTTCATTATCTTGAATTATCCGCCCACATGAAGAGCCACCAGTCCACTCTTCTGATGTAAACTCACCTTCCCTGAGTGCTGCTGCCAGCAATGAAGCAGCCTGTGGAGTTTCTCCTGAATCAGGTTTGATAAGGAGGTGAGGCTCTACATGAACATCCTCAAACCCGCTCATATCTCCCAGTTTTGCATAGATATGCAACTTCTCTTCCAAATAACTACAGATCTGCTGGTCCTTGTTACTCAGTGATTCTGTCAAACAAAATTGAACACTGTATTACTATTTTTCATCCTGCAGGCAAACCACATTCCCCATTCAGCCTTCTAATCCTAATTCCACATAGGCACTGCCAACTCAAACCAGGCCTTTTTTAAGTGGTCAGGAACCATACTGATGCCACAGTCGTCTTTACTGAAAGCTGGAACAGACCACAGCAGATGGCCAGGGCAGTGCCCTACCCGGATGAGGTGGCCTTAGGTGCAATCTGGGGCCTGTAGCTACCTCCTGTTGCACCCACAAGGATCAATAAAGCACCTGGCTCAGGCAGCCACAGGATGTGCTGATTCAGTGCCTCAGTATCAAAGAACACCTACTTTCAGCAGAGAATGCCCTTCTTTGTGGCTTTCTACAGGAAGAACGCTGCTCGTATTTCCTCACAGCAGTATGAAGAGGTAAAAGTTAGGTGTAGATGAACTAAAGAAGTGGAATTTATCCTCAGCTACATTTTCATATAAAAACAAAAGCAGCAAAGGATGAAATGCCATAAACAAGCCAAAGCCACACAACTACTGAAGATCTGAGGTACTTCCATGAACATGGAACTACCTAGCCCCAATGCTAATATGGGAAAGCATCCCTTTTTCTCTCTTCTTTACTCACAGTAACGTAGCAAGAATATAAAGTGTGGGTTTTTTTAAAAAAGGTTCTCTTCCAATAAGTTCACATTATAACATCAGACCAACCCAGCTTTCTCCACTGTGACTCTGCCTACCAAGCCACTCTGAACCCACCAGCCAGTACAGGTACATAATTCATTCATCCTGAACTCTTAGGATGCAGAAGCTCTCAGGGTGGCACTAAAGGTACCACACCTTGACATTTCTGAATTCTGGATGCTTTGGCCTCAGCGATACGTCTATCATCATCAGATTCACAAATTTTCCCTTCTTCTTCTTCTTCCTCTGGACAGCTTCAAAGATGAAAAACAAAGAAAGGTGGGTAAAACAAAATTTGCATGTCGAATATTCATCTACAGTACAGTGTTGCGTTCATAATAAGGAGGACACAACATCAGCACCAACATTTGCTACAATCCAGAAGCATGCCATTTGTCTGCTTCTTTAAAAAGCAGTAACAGGACATAAACCAGACTAAAGAACCATATTCTGCAGTGAATGGGCGGCTGGCCCTCATGTAGGTTTGCTGTGCTAAGCATATCATTGGACCCTATAAGGAGCAATTCTCTCCCTGCCATTCATTCCCAAGGAGGTGACACTAAGATAACAGGCATGATAGGGGAATTCCCCAAAATGGCTGTATGGACACCTGCAGGGCTCTGGAAACCATTCAGAGCCAAAGGCAAAGGTGAGGGAAGCTTACAATGTCTGGTAAGGACATATAATAGGGAGCAAGAAGGGTCTACAGATTCAGTGAGAAACCAGAAGTAACATGGGAAGTTCAACAGAAGTGATGGTTCATTTTCAGGGTCTGTGAATCCTGAGTTCAGGGGAAAACCCAGCCCCACAGGATGGATCCATTGCAATGCAGAACAGAGAGCATGCTGCCATGAATATCCAACCAACCTCCCCTCTGCTTTGGACTGCCCACAGGAAAAGCAAAAGTCTTTTCCTCTACCTTTCTACTGCATCTTGAATATGCCTCATCCAATTGTTACGTTCCTCTCTGGAGTTGGTATGAACCTCATACATCTCAGGCCCTGCAGACGAAGCACTAATCAGAAACATCCCCCTTTCTTCATTGGCTACTTCTCTTACTATGAGCCGCTGAAGGGAGATAATGGAAGGCTTCTGGTCCTGGGGGAAAACAGTCAAAACACAAGCAAATAAGAGATGACTCTCTTATAAAACATTACACATTTACATGAGCAAGGTTTTCAATGAATTGGACTAATTCCAGTACAGTTAAACTACATATGTTCTCACTAGGTATAAGAGGCTGCAAGTTTTGAGTATTCAGGTGTCTTTTTCAACTGTTTTTAAAAATAATTCATAGTGCTTATGAACAGTAAAACACTGGGTATGTGCTAAAAAGTAAATTCCAGAGGCCAAATAATGCTGTGGCACAGTGTTTATATAAATGTTTATATTTATATAGTTTCGGAACCTCTCTCCATGACCTTTAATACAGTTTATATGTACTTACTACTACATTTGCAGTTAAAATTATTCTTCTGTTTTACAGAAACAGAAGTTAACATTTATTTTAGATAATTGAAAGAGACTACTCTGCTTCCCTCCTTCATAATCAGATGAGGCATAACACTAAAAATATCATTCTGTTATTTTCATCCTTCCTCAAAAAAAAAAAAAAAAATTTAATTTTGAAAATAAACTTAATTTCCCATATACTGGCATATCAGTGTTCCAAATAAATCACCTGGATTTTAGGAAAAAAAAACCCAATATGTGGGAGTAACTAGAAAAGGATCTAATTTCCAGGAAATATACAAATAAAAGTGCAACGTGTATATTTAATCATCTGATATTATACTTACCACAGCTGCAAAGATGTATTTTTGATCTTTTTCTTGTAAGAACAGTAGTACATCAGTTAGAAGAAGAGCTAAGGTGTCTTGAAGTGAGAAAAGGAAAATAATGGTTTTTTTTAAATAAAGTCATAGTGATTTTCCTCTTTTATCTTTAAAAAAGAGAGAAACTCTGATCAATAACTAAACAGAAAATATCTGGATTAACCCAAGGTCTTCATGAAGTAGCTGCATGCTACACTTTGTACCCCTCAGGAAAAACTACACTTGCTGCTATTTACCCTCCTGCAGCACTCTGGTGGAGCACTGGCCCAGGGAAAGAAGAAATCCTCTTTCCAAAGTCATTACAGCTTCACCAGGCCACTCACAAGCAGCTTGGCAAAGACTGCTCCACATTCCACAGATTTTGTTTTGCCCATGCTGTAACATATACCGATGGCACAGTATTAAATTTGTAAAAGTATTTCTGGAATAACAATGAACAGATAGCATGACAAAGTTGTAGAGCCAATATTAGTAAGCTCCCAGAAAAAAACCAACCCCTACATGTGATTAACACCAAAAAATCAAATTCTGGGCTGAATGTAAAAAATTGGCTTCAATCAAATGAGGCTTCAGGTCTGCTCTTCCACTGCAGATGTCCTAGTACTACTAAGGAAAAGCACATGCTTTTTCATGCATTTTCTAGTGACTATTAATGTGAACACAGATGTACAAGTGAAGACTTTTGTGGGATGGATGGAACTGCAAATGAACTAAAAGGAGGGAAGGAAAGAAGGAAAAAAGGAAGGAAGAAGAACTACAGCTGATGGCTTTGTATGTGAACTTGTCTTCTTACCAAGCAATATCCACAAACTGTGGCAGCTTCTGGAACTACTCTTCTAGCAATTATTTGTATATTCTCAACGCCTTTACCTCAGAAATTCATGTTCGCAATGCAGCACAATAAAGTATTTCAATTTTTAAACCAAACAACCTTCATATGTTATTTGCAAATAAAGAGTTAAAGTACTTTACTGCTCAGATTGAGTACCTTTGAAACGACCCGTCGCTGTCTTCCAGTACACTAAACCCTTATGAAGAAGGATCCTCTCTTTCCTCATCAAGTCCTGCTTCCTAAACACATGGCCATTTTTCAGCTTTGTATATGTTTTGTTTTCAGTTCTACTGAGAATTTCCAACAGCTTTTGCTTTTTCTGATATTCATTCACTTTCAAATCTACTGCTGCAACCATGTCCTTAACTAGAGAGAGGGCTTTGCACAGGTTTTTATGTTCTTCTGTTCCTTCTGTATGAAACAAAAATAAACAATATGATAGTAGTTTCCTTATTTTCTAGGAATAATCAACATGATACAAAGCTTACACTGATAAATGTGACATTTTAATTCGATCCTGACAATCAATTTACCAGAAACATTAGAAGCATCTACCTTTGTTTGACTTGACTATTAAAAGATGACATGTATGGTCAAAACAACATGTTGAACAGTTTCTAACATTTATGAGCTGTTAGCATTTTTAAAAAAAAATTACTGGCTAAGTGTATCAAATAGTATATTACTCTTCTGGCTAAGTAACAAAACCCCTTGAAATAGGACTGCTAGGAAAAAGGTTTTGTATTTGGATATGCAACCTTATACAACACTCATTTATTGCCCATTGGAGGGGCACTATCTGCAAGTTATTAGTATTTCTGAAATGGTCTACAAAGTTCCAGGGGTCATTCAAGCTTTGCTTGAAAAACGGCAGAGTAATTTATGAAATGTTTGCCTAGCCCTACTTACAAGTAGGACTTCTATGGCTCATCCAGCTGGAATACTGGAAATGTTCACAGTCCACCCTTGACAAAGACTACATGTATCAGACTCCTGGTTTAGGTGACATTTGCCTGATCAGTAGATAATTACGTTGCCCTGCGCTCTACAGAGCAGTGAATTTTATCTTATTTTTATACTGTTGCAGCACATATTCCTTACATTAGAAACACACTAGGATTCTGGACATGAAGCAACACTTTAGCTTTTATTCACCTTTTGAGTATTGCAATATCCTTTCAACCAGAACAGGGTATTTGGTGATTCGCTGGGTGACAAGCAAAATGCACTCAGGGATTTCTCGGCGCCGTGCCAGTAGGTTACTATTTCTTAGCTGCACAGATGGAAATACATAACGTCAGTAATAAATGCACATTAAACCACCAAATGACTAATAAGAAATAGGATCTAAATGCATTAAAATAAGCTAAAACAAAATGCTGGGTTATCTGAACCACTCCCATGGAATAGCTGTTGACCTGAGGGACAAGGTGTACTATAACAGGAGCATGTATGTAATACACACTGGATGCCAAACCTGTCTAAAATTTGAGAGAAAAACGTAATTTATCAGCTCACTGGTTAAGGAGGGAAAAAACTTTGCCATTTTTATTAGCTATTAAAAGTAAGTTACTGAATATAATTTCAACCCTACATCTAACTAAAAGCTACATATCTTTTTCCAGAGCATTTTTGTCACTGGTAATCACATTTCCATGTAAACTTACTTTAATAAAATTCTGGAACTTCTTGCTTTGCTGTAGTTCTTTGAAGAGATTAACGGCTTCTTTTTGGTGGCTGCAAAACTCTCCATATATTTTCTTCATTTTAGTTGCATTTTCCTCTGAAAACTGAAGAAGTGAACACTGAAATGAATTGTGCTTAATTAAAGGAATACACATTTCTGTTGCACTGTTAATGTATTTTGTACAAATACAGAACTTTTATACTACTTGTTTCTCAAGGTTCCTGCACTTCACTAACAGTGCAAATCACTACAGAAAGAAACACTGGTTTTAGGAGCAAGGGGAGCAGGGGCTGGAGAAAGCATAGGCAACCTCCACTAAAGCCTTGCCACTAACAGCTCAAAAAACTAACAGCGTTTCCTTCACCTCTTTGCAAACACTATCCCTTGGAGGCTTATTCGCATTTGTCTGACCACACCACTTCTAGACAAGGTAACAGCTCAGCTTCTTTATTTCACTCTCCTGTGTGCAAAGAACTGAAGTGTGACTAGAAAGCAGTTAGCTGTTCTGTGGTCACCATAAACACACTGTGACCATCCCTTCTCTACTGAGCAGCCACTTGAGAAGTACTATGCCATATTGATAAAAGAAATGAACAGGCAGTTTCTTTTCCACCATCAGTCAGTTCTCAACACCTCTGCTGTTAAAGATGTGAACCCACTCCTTCCATTTTTTGCAGTCCACGCTATGATGACAACAGCCTTCTACTGTAAACAGGACTAAGTTTATAACTTCCTCACTACTTGTACCATATAGGTAGAAGCTCATCCCAAGTTAATCACAGTTAACTATCTTCAATGATTTTCTCTCATCGCTATTTCAACCTGAAATAATCTGGAGGCAACCACATCCCTCTTCTTGCCCATGGAAGTTTTGAAGTCTACAAATTGTTTAATTTGGGAATCTTGACCACATAAAGGATCATTGGAGCTGATGCCTCTACCTGCTGCAAAAGGATGTCTCCAATTCTGCTGATGATATAATTGCACTCACTCCCTGCCTCATATGACTCCTGCCGTCTCTCCTTCATCCTGTAAAAAAATTGCCTGTGGATCTCCAGTAGCTCATCTAAGCAGGGGAATATTCTGTCCACTGTGCTGTGGTCCAGCTGCAGTTCTTCCTTCATCCCTTTCCTGAATACTTCAGACATAATGAACAGCGTATGGATGTGATGCACTTCTGTTTGCATCAGCTCTGCAGCATGAAAGAAAACAGAACAGTATAGTAATCACCAGAACGTTTTGCACACCTTCTAAAACGGACATTAGCAACAAGAAGATATACAGTCATAATATTTTTTTTCTGTGAGGCTTCTGTGACATAACCTAATAGATTATGTCAGAAGGAAGACTGAATTTATCAGGCTCTGGCACAGTTCTCATACCTGTATCACACAGAACAAGCTGGGGTTGCAACTGCTTGCTCTGAAGATTGGATGAGGTCCCTTCCAACCTCAACTGTTCTGTGAACAGGGCAGTCATGTCTCCCTGATAGTCACTACTCTACATTTCTTCAACTCTAAGACACACCGCAATTTGTGACAAAAAATATCCTTTAAGCTTTCTTATTATTCCGAGTTGAAGCACTCATTCTTCCAGGCAAAAGACATGTAGGTTCCCTCTCTGCTTTCTAGGCAAATTTTTGTTTTTAAAACTACGCAAAACTTTGAAATACTGACCAAAAATTACATCCTGTCTCTTGATGACATCCTTTTCTTGCCTGCTACAGAACACTGGATCCACAGCCAGACTCCAGGACTCTGCCTCAAACTCTTGTGCATCTGTATGGAGATGAGTCCACTGAGAAAAATCCACGTAATCTATGACAAAATGTGTATCTCATTAATAGCAGGCATATGAACACTATGGCAAATCCCCTTGCACAGGCAAATCTTCTATTCATATAGGAAGGGGAAACACAGGGATGAACTTTTGACAATGCTTCTGCAAACACTGGCAGTGGCTTCACAACAGAGAAACTTGCCAGATGCCAGTATCATTGCCGAGGTGTTGAAAAGCAAATGTGACAGCGAGGAAGGAGAGGGGAAAAAAAAAAATAAAAGGGGGGGAAGGGAAAATCAACCCCATCCTTCTTTTCTCAAATCAAATAATAGAACTATAGAATCATTTAGGCTGGAAAAGATCTTTAAGATTAAGTCCAACCATTACCCCTGCACAGCCAAGTCCACCACTAAACCATATCACTAAGCACCACATCCACACACCTCTTCTTTTTATACTTCTTTGTTTGAAGAAACATTTTAAAATTCAAAAATAAAATCCAACATTTTCAAAAGTAGATGTCCAGTAAGAAACATGTGCACCATCCTTTGTGAGTGAATGTCCTTCAGCTTGAAATTCAATCTCACACCTATCTACAGAAAAAGCCTATTTCTATTCACTTCAGAAGTATATGTGGCCACTTGAAGAGGGCAATTCACCACCAGTGAGAGATAAGATTCTGGAGCTACTGAGGAAATACAACGGATGTAGCCTTACAATTTGCAACATACACTGTGAATGGAAGTGATTAGATGAGTGACGTAGAGAAGTGTATTGTTCTTCTGGTTCTGCAAGGATGCCAAATACCTTTATCCCTGTTATTTTGAAATAGTAACACCACCAAAAATGTTCTAAAAGTTACAAAAGAGTTAGTTACAAGGAAGAAAGGAAAAGTTGTACTTTAAGGCTGATTGTATAATTGTAATGGGTGACCTAACAGAAATTATCAAAAACAGGTGCTCTTCTTTTAGCAGATTTAGTGGCTTCATATATCAAATAAAGATTGTTTTATTCTGTACTTTCCAATACAGGTTATGCAATGCAATATCTGTGCAAAAATTCTCACCTTCCATCATAAAAGTATCCATTGAAGAAAAGGTCCCTAATGCTTGTAACGTCTCTTCAGACCGTGACTTGTGCTTCCAGGTGGTAGTCTCAGAGTATTGTTCAGAAAATGCTCTTGATCTACAGCAGAAAACACAAATTCCCACATTTTCTTAATGTTTAAAATTTTCCTGGAAATGCTGAATGATGTGTTTACCATAGCCTCCTGGAAGCTTCCTTCTTACCTTCCAAGACTGGCACCGGGGACACTTTTGGACAAGAAGTAGGACTGTTGCGAAGCTTCCCTTCTTCCAGCAGAGAGCCCAATAGGCACAGAGGAAGAAGGATGCACTATGGAGGGCATCTTCCGTGAAATGTCTCCAGGAAGGGAATCTGTGAGGCGAAGCACAATGCAACACTTTGACAAACAATGTATGGAGTAGGTCATCACAGCACACCTACACTGCAGAACACTACCTGGTGTTCTTATTGACCTACACTCAGCGTCAAGAGTGTCTGCTTGCCCTGGCACAAGGCCATGACACTCTCCCACAGAATATAAAGATAAGCCTGTAGACAAAGTGGAATAGCTGCAGCATGGATATTATTGAGATGAAAACAATCTCAAATCATACATGCTCTAACGTAGCAACCTGAGCACAGAAGACCCAAGTATTTGTTCATACGATAAAAGACGTACTCAAAAGCACAAGACAGAACTGACTACTTCTGATTTTCATTCTCGCTGAAAAAAAACATAGTAAAACTCTCACTCATTTTAGCACAAGATGAGTTAGTTCAACAGCAAGTTCTTAAAAAAATACTATTTGTATTAGGGAGACACACACTTTCTTACAGATATTTGAAATGAGAAAGAGAAACACACAAATCATGCAGGACAATCTGTCACTTCAGTCCTATAATTTTTAACCAAGGCTTAACTTAGAAGTTCTAGGTTTACACCTCCTAACTTACTTGTCGCACCAACTTGGTGTTTGTTTTTACTGTGGTACTTCTCCTGGTATTTCTGAAAAAGATGAGAATTTTATGAAACTGCAATGAAATCATAGATAACAGCACAGTGAACAATAAAGTCTGTAACTCACTTCCATATATCAGCACGCAAAAAGTCTTCAAGAAATTGGTCCTAAATTATCATCCTGATTTCTACTAATAAATTCAAGTTTATTAGTTATTGGTAGATAAAAGTATTCAGAATAAAATTATATTATTTGTACCACAATACAAAACTGAATTTTTTTTTCTAAACTGAGTCCGTGAGTTATAGCATTCTACTTTCTTTATCTGAGTATTACCTGTGAAGGCTGCAAGAAAAGAAGTTCACATTCAGGGCCTTATATTCAAATAATCTTGAAATATTTGTGGCAGGGCATTATTAAAGAAGCCTAGGTATCAGAGGCAGAATCAATCCCCTTTCCAAAGTGGCCTTTTGAAAAACCTGTAACAAAAGCCTGCTGTGCTTAGGCATGTATTTCACTTGAGGTGGGTCAGTAAACTTCTGCATCTTAATCTTGTAGAGATGGGCTGGGGCAGGGCGGGGGCTCTTGTTTCCTCTTGACAAATAACTCACCAGCTCCCAAAATTAAAACTGACAGTTCAGCTGTCTTACTGCCTTAAGGTTGCCCAGAAATTTGTGTAAGACTATGACATGGCAGTTATAACCAAAATAAATAAAAAACATCTGATTTATGTGCAGTGTAAGGCTTGTTTACGTTGAAGAGCCTTTATGGAAACACGCTCTCCCTGCAATCCACTGTGATGCACAAACCCAGTTATACCAGAAAAACAAAGTCCCCTAGTCCAAAAAAATAACCTGTATCACTGTGGCATACTGTTTTGCAAGTACCATTTTGCTTCCTGAGGTCAGAAGCCTTACACAGTCATTTTTGAAAATCATGTATTTGTCATGATAACCTCATCATGCATGTATTTCTACTTAAAATAATGCAGTATCTATCAGCTCTAGCACTGAATCTGCTCTGTCTGCAGTGGCAGCTCACTGTCTGCAGTGGAAGCGACTGCCTGGGCAAGCTGTGAAGTTTCCTCCTCCAGAAATTTTCCCAGAGAAGGTCAGATAAACAACTGCCCAAATCACTATCTAGAAGTGAGTCAGCACAAGACTGAGGGGATGGACTAGGTCATCTCCCAAAGTCCCTTCCATCTCTAACATACAGGATCCCCCCCTTGTACACAAGAGGTTATTTGTGGGTTTGAAGAGCTTTTTTTTTTTTTTAATTTCCAACTCTTAAAAAGTAGAAATATCTCTTCAAACTAATTTTTGACCCTTCTCTAAAAACTTTGTTGTTCAAGCACAGTGCTTGCTCTGTTGCTCACATTTGACATTTTGACACCCTTGCAGCCTTGACACCCTTGCAGCCTTCTGCACACCACCACTTGGTATGGGCAGGCTATTTATACTTTCTTTTTTTTCTTCAGAGTTTCCAGACCCCTTGGAAGGCAGACATGCTTTAGTAAGAACAGTGTAGTATAGGAGGTTACCTTGGTGCACACAGGTGCACACTCCTTGCAGCTCTTATGCACAATCACATTGCAATCTGAAAGAGAAGGCAAGTTTCAAAGCCTGGCACTGAACAAGGTCCCCAGCCTGCAGAAAATGCCACTCAGAGAAAGAGCTTCACCTTTTTCCCTTTTCCAACTCCACTTACTAAAGCAGTCCTGAGGATGCTTTGATATTACAGCCTCTGGATAGGAATATTTTGCCTAATGTCCTGGGGCTAGCAGATGGTCACGGTCCCTTCTGAAGCTGTCACCCACCATCCTTCCTCCCTCTCCCTTGCCAACCTCAGGCATTACGTAAAGGATGTATGTCCTAAGCTAGGCAAGGCTGCTTTTTGAAACAAAACACAGAACCAGGAGGCCACATCTGTTGGCATTCCATTCTGGGCTCCCCAGTTCAAAAGAGACAAGGAACTAGTGGAGTGGGTCCAGCGCAGGCTACAGAGATCACCAATGTACTGAAGCAAAGAGGATGGGGCCAGACTCTTTTGAGTGGTGCATCATGACAGGACGAGGGCACAAACTGAAACAGAGGAAGTTCCCTCTGAACATGACAAACTTGAGGGTGACAGAGTGCTGGAAAAGGCTGCACAGAGAAGCTGTGGGGTTTCCTTCTCTGAAGGCATTCAAAAACCACCTGGATGCATTCTTGTGCAACCTGATTTAGGTGAACCTGCTCTGGCACAAGGGTTGGACTAGATGATCTCCAGAGGTCCCTTGCAACCCCTACCATTCTGCAATTCTCTGATCGGAAAGCAGAACTTGGAATACTGTAAGTTCACATATTAAAGCCAGCAACTACTTACAAGAGCACTGCAGTGATTCTTTTCCGAGGAGGGCTTTTTCACAGGCCATACACGGGATAACTCCCAAGAAGGTCCCATTTGTAAAATTGTGCCGGTTCAGTTTATCTTTGGTATCTTTATTTTTTGCCTTCATCCCCAACAGCAGAGACAGGGAAAGACAAGAAAAGAAAAAAAGGACATTAGAAAAAAAGATAAAGTGATTCAATCTTGAACACTACAACATTCCCTTTTAAGAGCAAATTTTTCTAAAATCCTTATTCCTTATTCTGGAAAACTTGTAACAGCATAGCTATATTGTTATATCCAACACTGCTGAAGTCCTAAAATGATACAGGTGCTGCTTTCACTGTTGGCTAAGCCAGCAAGCATTATCAAGGAAGGCTGACAGAAGTACATTTATAAAGCTGAAAAATGGGAAGGACAAGAAAATAAAATTTAAGAAGTGTTATTGACTCACTGCACACACAAACAAATATCAATGCTGACATCTTCCTTACATTAGAAATAAATTATTTTTAGTGAGTGCTAATGAATTTAATAAATTCTGCTTAATTTTACAGTACCCCTGTTGGTGTAAGCACTTGTCCAAGCAGCCCTAGTAGTTATTCTTTAGAAGACCACACAGACACAGGCTAATGTATGGTTGGTGGACCAGACATACATGTTCACAGCCAATTCTGCCACTCTTTGAAGATACCACCTCAGCCAACCACCTTCACATCCATGTAAGTTAGGATATCCTGAGGCACAGGAGGGGGTACTAGAAAGCCTTCAGAACTGCCAAAAGGCCAGCTGGAAAGATTCTGTAGGCCAAATCCACCTCTCAAGCTGCAAATTGATGCTGCTAATCTAAATTTCGGATGACTCAAAACTAAACTACAAATATTTTCATCTACCTTCCACATTATGTATGTTTGGCTATGCAGGCCTCAGATCTGCAACTCTTTAACGCTAAGCAGTGCTTACTCATGCAAGAAGTCCCATTAACTTCAAACGAGGCAAATTCAGCTGATACAGACTTACTTAATTACTTATTGAAAGTACCTACAAGAATGGGTCCATATCTCTTAATTTTACTTAACAAAGAAAATTCTTTCTTAAAAGGTAATTCATACATTTAAACTTTGGCTAAATCAATGAGATTACCAATAACATCAAAAAATGGCAAGGGAGATACTTGATATTGGTCAGCTAAGGCTATTGTTTAAAAGGAAAGCTGAGTTTTAACGTGAAGGCCATTTCAGGGTACCCTGCATACATTTTAAATTTAAAAAATAAAGATGAAACTTTCTTCCTATTACTTACATGGTTTTGTAATACACAACTTATCTTCATATAAAAATTTAGACTTTCCTCTACAAATAATTTAATTACAGTGATGTAATGGACATAAATCCCAAATTACCTTGTGCTTATTCCGTGTGCTGGTCATTCTATTCATCAGAAAGCTGAAAGTCCGACTCACTTTACATTTTTCAGACTCATTTTTTGAAGGTACAAGGAATTTATTCCATTCCTCTGGAATCCTAAAACAGAGACCAGTGAAAAAAAGTCTTTCCAGTGGGAACAGTCCCTTGAAACAGAGCAGAATCTGGATGGTGCTTGTTTCAACGAACACTTACAAGTTTTATTGTGGATTTGCATGACATGATTTAAAAGACAGCTATCCCTCTTCATAAAAAGGAGTAACACTAAGCCATGGAGTGCTCCGAATGCGCAGTGGTGTGTTACAACCTCGCCTAGACCCTGGCTGGTACTAAAAGCCCCCTCGCTTTTGTTGCACATTTTTTGGAGGTCCCCACAAGCGGACAGGGGCACATCCCACCATGGTGCACAGACAACCCCGTGGTGAGGAGAGCACGCAGAGAGCCAAGCCGAGCTCAGTGCAGACCATAAGCATGGGCTTACAGATCCCCTGGCAGCTCACACTCCCCTAAATGGCTGCCCCAAGCCCCACCACGATGGGTGTGGAGGCCCCTTCGCTGCTCGGCTCCCTAAATGTCATCCTCACATAGACCTGCCCCACCAGTGCCCCTGACCCACCTGTACCTCTTCTCTTGGGACTGCTTGGGCAGGCTGTAGGCTCGCTCTGCAAGACAGAAAGCAGTTAACAGGCACTCAGATTGCAAGGTCAATGGGTTTATTTGAAACACATGACGTCCACCAGGCCATCAGCTTTTCATGAAGGCCTTGCAGTATCACTTCAAAATCAGGAAAGCAAAGAAATATACATATTAGAAGCATCTCTTCCTAGGCTAAGACCACTGTCTACTAAGCTTTGTTTAGTTGACAGAATCTGCCAGAACCAAGATGAAAATCAATGAATGCCAGTCTGCAAGCAGTCTGGTTTTAAGAATAACAAAAAAATACTTGTTTTTCATCACAACCCAGACTTATATGATTCACACTTCATTTCACTTTTTACATTATTTGTTGTAAATTATCTTAATGGGGTTCTTCTAAAATTTGCAATTCCCTGTCTTACACTGCTTTATCTATAGTACTGAAAATGTTAAATCCCTCTACATAAAGAGGAATATTACTAGTCTATGTATCGCACAGGATGTGTAACGTCTTACAAGTTTAAATCCCAGAAACTGCAGGGAGAACTCAAGGAGCTACTTTTCAGCAAACTGTCTAAAAAGCAAAATAAAAGTTAATTAATTTGGGTTGTTTCAAAAGAAAAAAAGAAAAGCCACTATCCATTTTGAAGTTTGAGGCCATTCTATTTTGCAAAGCTACCGCAAGTACAGTTCAGAAAGATGCTTAAAAACCTGCCCAAGTCAAAGCAGCAGACTACGCCTTCTTTAAACTTAGATAGAAACTTAAAATACGTTTCACTGAATCAGCATGTCTGCAGATGAACATAGACTTTGGGTTAGTGAGAGCTCTAATATTTACTGAAGAAGCAGCAAGACTAAAAGGGCATTTCAGTTAGTTGCCAGGCACAATCGGTGCTGGAGGATGCTTTTGGAAGAAATGAAGGCCATGTACCCATGCGAGATGAAGACAGCCTCATGCAAAACAGTGCCATGGGATTGGCACTGGGGTACTTACTACAAGGGTGGAGCAGAGACACTGACTTAAGAGAGTGAAAGAGCCTGAAGGAGGGATCGACCACTGATCGTGAGCACACCATCTACAGAGCAGGAACAAACCCTTTACTGTTTACAGCCTGGTAATACCTTCTTGAATAAAAGCAGGTAATTGTTCCAAACCTGAGCATACTGAAAAGCTCCCATCAGAAATGGAGGGTGCTTTCCCACCTTTTCTAGTGTTTTGTGTGACAAAGACCACCCTGTTGCCATCCTGCTTTCATCTGCTTTTGCTCAGATTTCAGTGCAAAGTACACGGTCAGCTGCACGTCTCTCCTGCATAGCTAAGTTCTGAGCAAGACGTCCAACGTGCTGGCAGCTGGACAGAGAGGAAGGGGCAGGTTTTCAGTGCAAAGACACCTGCACAGATCCAGACATAATCGCACTACAGTGCACAGAGATCAGGATGAACTGTCTGACCTAGCTTCTTGGACCAAGCTCTTAGACTACTCCCATAGCCAGACACAACAGCTCAAAGAAAAGGCAGCTGTGCCTACCTCACACAGTAATCACCACTACCAGCTGACAAACACTCTGTTCAAGGCTACCATTTTTGCAAAATGCTGGCAAGGAAGGTACAAGGCAGGAAGTGTTGGTGGTAGGGAAACACCATCAGCAGTCTCAGCAGATCACCACACTCTCTCCCAGCAGCACACCTGTGTCTGTGGTGTGGGCTGCAGACAGACTGTTTCCAAAGCATGGACAGGAAAATGTTTCTACCTTCTCCACAAAAAAGGTAAAGGTCCAGCACTGACTGTCAGAAGAAGGTGGTCAGAGAATGAACAGGACATGGGCCCAAGCCCAGATCAGGTCAGAGCAGGCAATGGTCTCTGGATGTATCTTAACAGGCTGTGAAAGCAATAGTCCCTTAGCTACAAGGTCAAAGGAATTCTGTTTGAACTTTGAGCACCCACCAGAGGCCTTTGCTGATCTGCCATCCTCTACTTCTTTGACATACTTCCCTGTTTTAGTTCTGCCTTCTTTTGACATAGACTTCTCACCTAATCTGTTGGATACAACTGGTTACAAGTACACTAAGTGATGGGGAAAAATAGAACACAGCTGTGTGCTGCAGGCTGCAGTACATACTCCTCCTTACAAGACAATGTGAAATCTTACAATGAATTTGAGCAACCACAAACAAGTAATTTGGTGCAACTGCTTAACACAATTACTTAAGGAACAAAGATGTCTGCAGTCACTGTACATCCGCCCATCAGATTTCTCCATTTCACCTTCCCAACAGCTTTTGAGTTTAACTGGTTTCAAAGCTAGCTGTTTAAACACTTCCACAAATTCTGTGCATTTTCACACTCAGTGTCATAGAATCACAGAATAGTTGGGGTTTGGAGAAACCTTCAAAGATCACCTGGTCCAACCCCCTGCCACAGACAGGACTTCTTCCACTAGATCAGGTTGCTCAAAGCCCCATACAACCTGACCTTGAATAACTCCAATGATGGGGCATCCACAGCTTCTCTGGGTGTCAATCCCATCTGGTTCACTGTAACTCACATGTCCTGCCTCTTGCTCAGGACCAGGGGAAAGCTAAGATATACTGGAGGGAGAGACAAGGTGGAAGCATGGTAATGGACAAGGATACAGGGAGAAAGGCAAAGTCTCTTGAAATGCAAGGGGTTTTTCAGTGATATGTTCCATACAAAAAGCACAGCACATATACTTCATGCTTTGCATGGTTTTCAAATATAACCCATACCCTCATTGCAAAAACAGTGCGTTTTCTTCTAAATATGAAATTATGTGTTCAGATATAAAGCATCGTAGGAACAATTTGTGGACAATTACAACCTTCTTGCAGAGACATCTATGACTCCATTTGATGGAGAGGGTGGGTTTTGCTTCTCGGCCTGTGGAGATGACAATAGCCCACCCATGTTTCAGAGATTCCCCAGGATCTACGGGAAGCTGGGGCATCTGCCCTCTTTGATGTTTCTGTGTCATACTGCGGTCTTTGCTGGTCACCCAGCAGGAGGAGGCTGGGGTAACAATCTTCCTCAGAGAAGACTATTGCCTTGGCCTAGATTACCTTTTCTTACTAACTCTCCCAGTTTGTGTGCCCTCCTGAGATCAGCTGCTGTATCAAGGGCAGGGCACAATGGGGCAGTAGACGGAAGAGCAAGGGACAATGGCAGGGGTACCCAAAGGCACCTGAACCCTGCTTCCACATGCGTTGGTGAGGTCTGTGCACAGGACAGGCCTGAGTAAAGCCATCAGCAAGGGCTGATGGTGCAAAGCCAGAGAACTGACCTTCATTCAAATCCCCATCAGTGAAGTCCCGAGGAATACGAGGTCTTCCTAATGAACCTTTGGGAGACGAGCAGGAATAGGAGCGTGACCGAATCCCAGACACTGTGCATTCCTTCAAGAAATTGCAGCAAATTAAAACTTGTGATTTTTGAAATACATCAGCAACAGAAACAAAATGAATCGGTGGCAGAACTTCTGAAAGAAGAACTGTTGACCACATGCACAGATTTTCTTGGCTTTGTTAAAGCTTTAAGTCTAAGGACAATTTTTGATGATTAACTCTTAGGAAGTCTGTCATACTTCACCATGATAGTATTTTGTATGTTATGGGAAATAATTTGTGGGTGCAAGTTCAACTAAGAGAAAACTTACATTCTTCTTTAGTTTGGTGGCAAGTGCCATTCAAACAGTGTTTTTTGCCATTATATCTGATGACAAAGCTATCTTCTTCTACCAAGGGAGCCATTAACCTTAGCAGTTTAGGACCTCAAGAACATTTCATGGAGACTAATGCCCTGCCTTGGCAATTACTTATGTCAGAGTTTCCAAAGAAAGGAGTAAAACTCTGTCTCTTTTATTTCTATTTTTTATTGTGTGTGAAAAGACTTACTGATTTCCAAATATTTCAATGATAAGGCTTGAAAGGAAACCCCTTGATTTTTGATACATTGTTTACATTTAAACAGAGCCTACTCCTAAACTGCTTACCTTCTTGTTTTTACAAGCAGCCCTAACAGAATTCAGTGTTTGTGCTGGACTGTTTTTCTCCCTTCATGTAATCATTTGCTGAGGATCAGATAAAGCTCTACAGTAGCAAGAAGTCTCTCTAATGAAAACAAAGAAACCTTACAAATAAAAAATAATTCCATATCTGTCTGAAGATCTCAGAAATGGCACCATAGTCTAATGAAAACAAATGTAGCCAGGATACTTTAGAAAACTATAATGAAGAGGAGAGTTTTCTACTGGTCAACATACAAAACCCAACTGAATTTGCCCAAGTCCAGCAATTATTTTGAAACAGGCAGCAGGGTGGTTTTATACTTTACAAAGTTCTTAGCCTTTTACATAATTCCAGCTGATTAAACATTTCCTCACTAAAGATATTTTGGTTAGAAAATGCTGACTCACTGAACCTGAGCTATTTCCTTTGAAGTGCTTCTGATAAGTGATGGTTTCTTCAAAGTTAAAGCAACTCTCTGATGGACCTTTTCCATGGCTGCTGCCAAGCCTGGCCACAACCAGGGAGCTCTGGCTCCACAACCCTGCACGTGCTGCTCTCCAGAGGGACTAGCATCACCAACTGGGAACTCATTTTTCCCCCTTCAAATTCATATGTTTCTCACATGTTTTCAGTGACTCACTTAAAAGGAAAACAATGTGAGCTATGTATCAAATACCTTGGGCTGCAGACTGGTAGATGAGTGTAATCCATCTCTGCTACAAGCCATAGCTTCTGAAGACCCAAGGGGGGGGTAGTGAACTTGGGATCTATCTAAAACACCTCCACTTCCACCATCAACTTCAAGGTCATCAAGGCTTGAACTGAAACAGAAAACAAAGTTTTTAATTCCCATGAATCCTAGTAATGATCCATCTCAACCTTAATGCAACAAGCAATGGTATTTCTATATACTCTGATCGGTGAAAACTCAAACTATCACAATTATGTCAAACAAGCTACGCTCTGGGTCCCCCCTCATGTTTGGGGTCACCTGATCAAGGTACAAGGTCACTGTGTACAGGACTCGCCTGATGCAACTTTAGTGGATCTGCAGCACAGACATTTGCATTACTCACATCATGCAGACTCCTGCAACAGTCGGCCACTTCTGGAGGATGACTTTCAGGCCCATGTTTAGCATCTCCCTTAAAATTAAATGTTTTGTTCCATATAGGTACCTGCCTCTCTATATAGATAAAGAGAGCTGAGACAACTAGCTCAGATTTCAGTATTAAGATATATGGGTATATATGGATTTTTTGTGTGTGTCTATGTATTTGAAAGATATGATGTGACTATTCACAGACATCTTTTTTTTTCTGTATCTGTGACTTGATGGAGGACAGAAGAGAAAACTAACAAGAGAGATAAAGGAAAGACTGAGACAGTTTATGAGATTCATTTCAAAAGGTATAAACTTAAAAACATAGAGGACTATAAACAGACTAAAAAATCTCTGGCCAAATCTTAATACTTGAACACCTAGAGACTATTTGATTGGTGAGGGTTGCCAAGCAAGACAGTGCAGTAAGGTTTCTCAGCAGTAGCAGGGTTTCCCAGGTTTCCCATTAACTGCAAGAGCAAGTTCATGGTCTCTTCATCAGAGTGACTGGAAGAAACAGTTGACTGCTTGCAATAACATTCCAGCCTTACAACATAAAACTTTTAATTATGTGTGGTATTTCTAAATAGCCAGCATTCCTACCAGGAATAATAGCACAACAATTCCCTTACACACCACTACAATTTACTTTGTCAGAGGGCAAATCTATTGATACTGTTAAAAACTACTTTGTTATTGCACTTCTGAAGACCATCTTTCACCATGTTTCCTATGTGACACCTCAGACACACGTTACTTAACTGCATTATCCATTATTGTCATATTTTACAATTGGAAAAGCAATATATGTCTATGTCAACAGACAAGCATATGTATCTTACTAGGGGTAAACTACCCAGGGAACTTCTCCTGACATAAAAAGCTGGTTTAAGGATCTGCTAAGTATCTTGCCACATCACCTCAGAGACCTCAATGAAGGTGCTGCTGGAATTACATATCGATAGTCTTCGTTTATGTGTAATATTGGATCACTTAGAGTTGGCATATTAAGGCAAATCACCTGTCTCTGAAAAGTCACCTAAGTCCTTAAAGCTCATATATAAGACCTGGATCTTAAAACAGATGGGCATATCTAAAAATGTATGAGAGAAAAATGTTCATGACAGAGGCATAAAAAGATTGTTTATAGCAATCTGCATGATACCCCTGTAGCTATCAAAAATAAAAGGTCTGGGAAAGAACAACTCTTACTCTGACATTTGTTGGCTTGTCTATGTTAAAAGATTCCTCCTAGTGGAATGTTACAGTTACATAAGAAACTCAAAAGTAAAGCAGAGAAAACGTTATTGCTCACTTTAATCAACAACAGACACTACTGCTTCCTTATTGTTTTTACACAGATTTAATGCCCTACCCCCAACCAGTCCAAACACTCTGAAAGGTGGGAGACAGATTCATGTTTCCTTTTGTACAGAAAGGAACTAATTTCATGCCTCTTCTATCCAGAGAAGAAATAAAGTCTTTTCGACAACGAAATTTACTAATTGTTAAAACTAATTTCACCTTCAAAAGTCTCTGCATCCTTGAAGCAAATCAGTTCATAGCATAACCCAAAGCCATCTGGAGGAGGGTCCTCAGACAACTGGTTCTGCTGGCACCAAATATTGTGTACCAGCAACAGAGCAGAAAACAATATGAACCTAACACAAATGTGAACTGCACTCTGCACTGGGTCTTTGGAGGTAAAAAAACCCATATGCAATTGTGAATAAGCTGGTCCTTTTACAGGCCACTGCAAAGCATGGAAATATTCCCAGAGAGTTCAACAGATTTTAGACTATTTTCTTGAAAATATAACTGAGGAAAAATAGGGTGAAATTCTGTTTTCTGACAAAAAATGTTACAATGGAAACTCATCCAGCGAACAGTTCATCTTTTTTTTTTTTTTTTAAAGAATACATACAAGAATAAAAAGTTATACAAGAACAAATTTGCATTAAAAATTAATTTACTTAGAGGACACCTGTCATTTGTTAAAAATGTCTTCATACCTATTTTATGAAAACAGATGATTAGAACAATTTCAATACCAGTGATTGAAAAGAGTGGTTTTACCTCAGTAGTAATATTTATTACTCCAAATCCTGCTTCACATTCTGAAATAACAGGTCACCATAAATAATCCATATTCTGGCCACATCAAGTCAATTCCATACCTTTTTCTTTTCATGTCAGCATAAAGTTGGCCCCGATTCTTAATAAATCCATGTGTCTTGAATGGAAGGTATGAATCTGATCCATATGGATCAGCAGGCAAAAAAGTATGTCTTAACGTGGCATTTTCTCCATTTTCCACTGTCCTTTGATTTCCTTCATTTGGTATATATAGATACTGGTCATTCTCCTCAAGGGAGGGAGATGAAGAGCTCTTAGCCATTGTAGCTGAGTTGGTAAGACTCAGACATGTTTCACTGCTGACATCATCACCATGAGCATGGTTAGTCTTCAATTCTCCAGCCTGCAGAGAAAAAACAAATGCTGGTGAGAGGCAGCAACAGCATGTACTGTCAGGGGACAAGGACCAGATGAGTTTGCCATTTTATTTATGGTTATATATTTTCCCTGTTTTTTACCCCAAGTTATATGACTAAGAAATTCTAGAACTTGCATTACTTTTTTTTCCATAATTAGAGTAGCAATGAATTGGTATTGGCAAGTTTGATGCATTTCTCACTCATATTTATACCTGTTCTTAAATGTATCACTTAATATCTTTATAGTTTTTACTAAAAATATACTTGAGTCAGGAAAAAAATAAGTTAGTGTAGGAGACATATGGAGGAGAATTCAAAGACTGTGCAATTTAATTTGGGAAAATCAGGCAACACATTATGCACTTTTAATTTGCCAGCACCAAATTCCTAAGCTTTGAGATAAATATACACAACCTGGAACAGTTTCTCCTTGGGAGCAAGGCAAAGGAATCTCTATTTTTTGCCATGAAGCAAATATGGGCATGAAGAACCCCTCCTCCTGCACAAAAACCGGAATGAAGTTGGGAAATGTTTTCTCAGGTACAGGGATCAGGTATTACAGACCCTGGTAACAAACAGTGCTTTGTGCAATTGAGGCTGAATTCTCCTGTCGACTCTGTAGAAGATTACTAAAATACAGTTTATTGTCAGACTTTTAGCCAGATGCTACTGTTGTCTGTTTAGACTCTGAAAAGTCACACAGGCAGTGAAAACACTCAACTTCCAAAAAGCACCTGTATAAAAGCAAGAAGAAAGGAAGGATGAATTGCAGGCATCTCCAAAGCCCTGGTCTTACAGATTGTTGACTTTCTCCTCTCCACCCTATTTGAGATGTGTTCTCATCCATGCCATCATGACATTGCTCCTAGTAAAAGACAGAACTGCTGGCATTTTTACAGCAGCCCATATTTGCATTCAAAGATACAGCACATGCAAGTCTGGAAGTACCTCTGCTGTGCTGTGCAGTTAAGATGCACAAAGGTAAAATGCTTCTTCCAGGTCTTACGCAGCTGTTCCTTCTCTCAAAATTATTCCGGTCTGGGCAGCATTTCCCCTTAGCACCAGAGTCCTGCTTTGCACAAAGCACTCCTGCTGCGTGATGCTTAAAGGCAGCATTTGGCCCCAGCCACCAATTTAACAAAGCTGAGCATGACTATGTATTGAGAAAAGGTTTGTCATCCAAACTGAAGGACGCCCCAGCTATATACTCAGGTAACACCTGCAGTTGCAACAGAGCTGCACAGTAAACTGTTCTTCCAACCTGAATATTGTTAACATCAAGGGTTCACAGATTGCATATATAGTTCTCTGCCATTTGCTTGCTCCTAGGTCATTATTACATGCATCTCTCAGTAACCTTATGTGCATTTTGAACACATTGGCCTCTAACTGAAACTTCCATCTCAGCTGTCACAACAAACTGGATCTGGCAGTGAATGCACTGGCTGGAGTGATTCAAGGAATGAAAGCTGGAAGGGGGTAGAAATAACACTTTGAAAATCTCAGCCTTCTAACATTGAGATTTGATCATGTCTTACTCCTGAATGTCACCTTTCACCCCAGGGAAAGCACTCAGCAGATTACAAATAGATAGATCACTTTAACCGTCACAAAAACATAGCTACGTACCACCAGAATCTGGCAGCTGTTTAACTACACACAAGAGTTGGACTAGTCCCCCCTGCCCAAGTTATGATATCTGAATACGACCATGGGAGAGGGATTTCAGGTACAACGTGGTGATGTTAAATATTATCTGAGCTGGACATTCTGGCTCACCTCCAGTGCTGGTGACAAATAGATCAGAAATATGAATATTAAATCAGGATATGTCCAGTACCAGAATGCTTTGTGCCTGGACATCAACTTCACCTTTTCTGCAATATCTCATTTTTATTGAGCTTATAAGCTGTTAAAAGTAACTTCACAAATGGTTTAGAAACTACAGCTGCTAAGTAATGTAGAGGGAATTTTAGCTGCATCACAAGATGGCGTCCTGGAAGCCCTTATGCGCAGCTCAGGCTACAAGGAAGATGATGAAATACCAGAGGTGAACCTCAAGGGCATTGTGCCCTTGAGGCTCTAGGCAGGAAGGACATGGGGGACAGCGTCGGCGCAGATCAAAGCTTGGCCGGAACTTGCAAGCAGGAGACCACCCTGTCAGCGCCCTGGCGCGTGGACAGAGACATTTAACCTATCGGGATACGGGGTTAGAGCGTGGCTGTGCAGTGTTAACCAATACGAAAGTATAAACTATGTATGATCTGTCACCGAGTGTATAAATACAGCTGCCTGTGTAGATTAAAGCGGAACACTGACGAACCTTCTGTGAAGTGTGTCGAGATTCTGGGGCTCCCCGCGCAACAAAGTAAGGTACTACTAGTTTTATTTTAGACCCTTCCTAACTGGACACACACCACTGTTGACATCCAGAAAATCCTAGTATCACACAAATACGTTACTTTAACAGAAGACAATTAAACATTTGCCAAATGTTCAAACATAAGCTTACCTGGTCTACTAGCATGCAGTTGGCATATACTTCATCACTTCCACTCAGCATGGCAGAAGGTCTGGTGGCAGAAAATAAGGTAGGTGGAGCCTTGAGTTTCCTGAGAATGTCAAGGGTAGAATGTCTCTGCTCTGGAAAGAAGAAATTGTGGAAAAAAAGGCATTAAATCGCAAAACATTTTCTTTTCATGTATATATGCTGTCATAAAAATGGCAAAGTTAAACATCAAGCACCAAATCTTGGGATTACAATTTTAGTATTATTTGTGTGGCCACTCGAAAAACTTCTCATTTTGCAATTGCCTAACACTAGCTATATTTTCCAAGCAGCCTATAGTTGACAAGACTCACAGAACCATTCATTTAACTTAAAAATAAGTGTTCCTGTACCTTGGTTAGCAAAACCTTCTATTGTCCAACTAAGCTAGAACTCTACAGAGATCTGTGGCTGCACAAATACCTAGGACAAGATTTACGGGCTGGGCTAAAATAGGCATGTTTCTGGCCTATACATTAAATACCTAACACCTGATATAATATATGAAGAAAATATGGTTCAACTGCAGTCAAATAATGACTCTCCTAAAGCATTCTAACTACTGGGAGCAATATAAATACTAACATCAAACCAATAAAGCAGATTACTGTTCTTAAAAAATGGCAAGAAAATTATTAGAGGGCTATAAATAAAACTGATCATGCCTTTATAGGGAGACACAAAACAATCAATATTTGACCCATAAACAAGGTGTTTAGCATGAAGACTGCATCTGATCTGCTTTTGGTACTGAAACGAGAAATCATCAGTTTTGCCAAAAATCATTAACTGAACTTCAGAGGTTAGATTTTAATACTGTGTTCATGACTGAAAATACTATAAAAAGCTGCATGGACTGACTCTGTTTCATGGCTTTGAGCTGCACATAACCTAACTAAGTGCTACAGAAACACTGTCAGTCAGTCTTGCAGGCCCATTTCTCTCAAAGCTGCTTGTAAGTTTGAAGAGCATGCACCAATCCAGCATTTGAGCTGGTAGTCAAGGCCTCATATTATCTTCTATATGTAAAAGGAGTAAAATTTTACAAAGTGGAAATGAGCCTTGTTATAGACTGTGTGAAAACAGGCTAAAACAAAAAAAAAAAATCATTTGTAGTCCTTCGTATTTTAAGGTGCTGTAAGTCAAGCATTGCCTTTGGAAGTGAACTGAGATAGCTATAAGAATGAGGTGATAAGAGTACCACAACCAGTAAAATAACCTAAATCAAAACTCTCAATAAACTTAATTCCAGTTCAACTGCCACAAAAAAAAATTACATAAAAATTCTTCTTAGTCTGCATTAGAAATTTATTTTCTGCAAAGGTAGAAAAGAAAAAAATAGGATCAAAAACTTTGAGCAAGCTATATTCCTAAAGCAATGTAACTGGTTTTGGAAGATCACAGAATCATACAGTGTGGTTTGGGCTGGAAAAGAACTTTAAAGATCATCTAGTCCAAACCCTGCTATGGGCAGGGACATCTTTCATTACATTAGGTTGCTCAAAGTCCCATCCAAGATGCCTATGGCCATCAGATTGCAAGACAAGTTATGATGAAAAAATGACACTGGATTAGAAACTACCTGTGTCCAAGTCGGGGGCATTTGTTCCTTTGAAACAAACAAAAAAAAAAAATTAAAAATTGTCCCAGACAATTTTTGAAAAAAAAAAAATAATTGTGAAATGTGAAAATTCCAATGCTACATCACAGTTTTTATATCATTTTAAGTTGCTATCTCATAAAGCTCCCAAAAAGTAAGCCCTATACTTAGAGCTAACATTAGAAATTCCCATTTAGAAGTGGCACACTATTAATTATTTGGTTTCTAGACCTGGCAGGCCTTGCAGGATCTCATACCATTAAAACATTCTTACGCTTCTTATTTTGCTTGTCCCTCCTGCACCAATTTTAACATGATTTTAGCAATTGGCATCTTGAGAATAGCTACAGTTACAAACCACTTCCTTATGTCTGCCAAGATCCCAAAGCCTTTGTTTATAAATAGTATAAAAGCATTGTTTTCTACAGCAGTTCATCAGACTTTGGCAGCAAAAATCATATGGAAATGTGATCTGGCAAAACTGGCAGTGCTTTCTTGTGGCAAGTAAAGCTTTCCAAGGGCTGGTCTTAAACCAACAACCAGAAAGAAAAAAAAAGTCAGTCTCTTCACTGTTTCTTGTATGCTTATTGCCTTCCCCAGCATGCACACCCTTTTATATATATATATACATATACCCACTGGGTACAACTGGCAAGGGTGGTATTTGCCTCCAGTGCTAGGCTGCAAAGGTTCAATACATAACCCTGAAAAACCGCCCAGCCATTAGGGATTCCCAAATCATGGCATAAACCTGAGCCTATGGAGACAGCTTCTTGACTTCAGTAAGTGCCCACCACTGGGGTCTCTACAGTCAGTTAATGGACTGCGCTATGAATTACAGGTCCTGAGCCAGAAACAAGAAGATTCCCCCTATTATTTCACATCATTATCTATATTGCAACTCCCACACCACATTTTACATTATTTTAAAATGTAACAATCTAAATAACAACTTCTGAAGAAAGCTGCTGCAAATGCCATATATATTGGAATACGTTATCTGAAGTACGTTCCACAGGTAAATCTTTGTTGATTATCACTGCTAAATGCCCTTTGTTTTTCTGGCGATGCTGCAGTCAGTCTGTTGTGAAAGGTGAGATGTCTAAATAAATATTTTTGGGGTTCTAAAAGAACAGACAAAAGGTAGCAGGTCATTTTGGGCTTCACATTGCAATATGATCCCACTGTACCTCCTCACTCCCACTTTACCGCCCAAACACGCATGAAGGGATGACTACAACAAACTATCCTTGAAACAAGGTGTTTAAAAACTTTGCTGAACACAGCAGAGAGTATTATTAATTACACATTGACTGTTCTAGTCATTTATTTCCACTGGACAAGCCTGCATAGTTCAAAAAGTGACAAAACGATCACAAATACCCACATCACACACACTGCTTTCCCACAGCCCCACTAACTGCCTCCAGCCTGCCTCACTGCCTACACATCATCTCAGTCTCACTGGGACCATCAGCAGACCTTCCTCCAGGTTAACATGCAATAGCTTGCTGCATTGGGTACAGTGCAGCAGTAATATGCAGCAAGCCTGTCCTTGCTTTAAAGATGAGGAGTATCAACAAAACGCATTTTCAGACAAAAGGTCTCCAAAATCTCCTCTACATGTTCAAAATGCTTATGCTCATTGCAGACGTAGAACTTTAGCACAGCTTATGGAAAACTAGGTAAGATTGCTAAGGCAAATGCACTTCTTGTGAGAGTGAAGGTGTCAGTAATGGACTTCAAGATGCTTACTAAGGTAAAAATGACCCAAATACAACACAGCAGAATTGGCTCTGGTACTGAAACAACCCAGCGAGCACAGTTTACCAAGCTGATCCTCCAGCCAGAGCTGAATGCTCTCTGGCTGTGTACTGTGTCATGACCACAGGAGAAGAATAAAATAAAGGCATGTCTCCTTTAGCAGAGCCTATGGCTCTCTGCCATCTGCCTGGTAAACAGTCAGGAAAGATGTATGTGTTATTTAGATGTAGGTCAACAAAAGACAGTGCTGGAAAATATAATCTCTCCAAACATGGATAAAATAAAAGACTTAGACCAATGAATAACTAGGCACAAATTGTCTACATCTTCTGTAAAGTTGTCAAAGTTATACAGCAAAGGCTGTACATTTTACCAGACACAAAAGCTTATAAAAATACTTAAAACTTCAAAGAAACCCACGATTATCATAGCAATGATTCAAAACATGCTTTATGTTGGTGTTAGAAAACATATAGCTTTGAATAACCTGTGTCAAATGGGGAGAACATAACACTGACTGTTCTTACACAAAAATCAAAACTTAAATCATTTTGTGAGAGGGCAAACAGCAAAAAAGAAGTAAAATGCATCAACGTGAACAAGCTGACACCCAGAAAAGTAATTACAAATTCCCTTCTCTAGATACAGTGAATAGTTTTCAGACAGCTCATCACATTTACCCCCAGCAATTTGAGCAGGGGTTAATGTATAACTGGAAATAACAGAGCTATGAAGTCAGAAACAAATGCAGACAGCTAAGCACAGGGGTCATAGAGGACTGTAGAAACATTCCTCTCAATTCAGAAGCGATCACATGAATTTGGAGAAAGACGGCCACAAGTTCCTGGTGAGGGGTCAACCGAAGTGACACGCATATCTGTAGATGTGAGCCATACAACCAGTTTCAATAGAGGATCTGCATCCCAAACACAGGTGCCCGAGTACTTCACTCAGACACTGCAACTATTCATGACAGCAGAAGTAAGTATATGAGAACAGTTTTACACAGATGGTAAAGTGAGGTAGGCTTTGATGCGTCGTTGTCATAAAGATAAACATTATCTGTCCTAAATCCATGGAGCAGAAACCAACAGACTGTGTTTCCTATAGGTTTCCTGCGTGGCGAGGATCAGGCATCTGGACGCTAGAAAACATGCCATCACGTTCAAGATGCGGTCCTAAAGTAGCCACTAAGAAACACTGAGGATAAAGGCACTTGTCAATCATTGACTTTGATCTTTGTCACCTAAACGTGAGATGCAAGAAGGTGTCCCTTTCCAACATGAGACTCGCAGCCCTGATCTCTCTCTCTGAAGCAGACACCTTACCTACTCCACAAATGAATACATAAACAGAAGTAAGTGGATGTCTCATTTTATAGAACAGTAAAACAGAGAAAATACTTTGCCAAGGTATAGGACACTTGGTTTCAATTACCACTTCTGACTGAGTGGACTCAGCAAGCTCTCCCCTCCCAGCACAGTGGGGAGAAAGGGATTTTGCAGTGCCTGGCCCCAAAGGTGCACAGCCCTCACTTGGCTCCTGCCAGCCCCCCGGAGCACAGGAGGGCGGCAAAGGATCTACCCGTCCCCAAGAGGTCCCCTGGCCAGGAACAAAAGCTGACCCTGTGGCACACAGGGAGCTTCGAATCTGAAAGCATCAATGGATATGGTGCCAAGTGGAGTGTGAGACTTTGTACTTTGGACTCTCCCACCAGAAGTCTGCACAGCT